CCTCCCACGACTACTGTTAAACAAATCTATGAAATAAATAAATCCTTGCATTAGAATAGTATAAAACCAACCAAGGTATTCATCCTTATGAAGTCAAATGTTCAAAACCATAAACTGAGTCTTGCTCTCAACATTCCCATTCATCTAGCTCAGCATTATAGCTCAGCATGAGAAGATCCTTACTTTGCTATATACTCTGTAAGCCTTGCCTCCTGATTGTCAGCCAGAAACTGTTGAAATGCTGGACTACTCTGAAATTTTTAGGGAATGTTAATGATATCATAGTCTAAAAATGATTAACTTTCAATTTTGCTGCATAGACAGAGGTTAGGATCATAGGTCAGCTCTGAAGATAACCTTAAGTTTGATAATTTACAGACTTTATGTAATAAAAAGGATTGGTCTTTTATAAAGCTTCATAATGGCACAAGAATTATTTTTCTAGCTGCAATAGCATAGAAGATATGGTCATTTGAATTTGCCAGATCTGGTTAAACTTTGATGACCAATATTTCAAAATTCTATAATATTGAGAACTGAAATTTTAGCTCCAAGCATGTCTCATTCAAAATTTGAAGAAAATGAGTTGTGATTATGCCAGATGAGTGTGATGATTTATTTGGTGTAGAATGCCTCTTTTATTTTTTTATGCTGCTGCTAGTGTTTTAAGTCCTTTATTTGAAACATGTGAATACTTGATTATATTATTATGTAATTGTTGTTCATGCTTTTTATTAAACAAGTATATCACAAAATAATACGTTTTGGTATTTCCTTTTAAATATTTTTAGACAAAAGAATAAATCAAGATGTTGCTTTTTTTCATTACTTTTCCTTTTTAAAAGAAAGTTGTTAGAGTAATGAAGTTATTCAAGTAAACCCGTGAAAAAGTACTTTCATATACTTTCATGTACTTTCATAAGTTTAATAAAAATATGCAGCTGTTTATAAATCTCGGTACAAGGAGTTGATTTATACAAGTAACATTCTATGATAGGAAGTTCTTTAAAATAAACAGTGAAAGGAAACATGTTTTCTTTAATCAGATGACTGACACACATGACCAAGCTGAAGCAGATATAAGGGAAGCCATGTAGTGGATTAAACAGCTTTGTTTTTGTATTGTGGTTAACCCTTTAGTTTAGTTGGTAGAACACTTGTCTGGTGTGTAACAGGTCTTAGGTGAAAAAATATATATACATTGTACAAAATAAATTACCACAGTTTTATGCAGTGTCAGGGGAGCAGTATGTACGTTCAGGGTTTATGCTTCTTTCCAAGGGCAATATCTTTGTGAATTACCTTATACACAGTTGATTGGGACATTTGCAACTTATTATCAGTTACTTTTCTGGGTGGAGGTGGGATTTTGACAACTAGTCTGCAACTACGACAGTTTTGATGGGATTCTGTTTAAATTTTTTTTTATATTCTCACACTCCCACTGCTGTTCACCATGTCTTTGAACTTTTTGTATCATAAGCTCTGTATCTCTGCTACTTGGATATCAGTCTTTGGAAAGGGCTTTGACATATATTTCATCGGCAATGAACCACTCTTAGAGAAATTGCATTGTTGAACGATTGGCTAAGATGTGATATTATAATGTAGAAAATATCACATTTGTATCATATATTAAAGTTTTAATTTTGTTGTTAATGTTTCAAACATTTATACTACAGACCCATTTGTTTAAATAATTGAAAACTAAACATTTTTCTTGATTTTATTTTATTAGCATTTTGTAGCAAAATGTATGCTGATACTGACTTCAGTACTTCATCTTGGAAAATCTGGACTGTCAGAAAAGGTGACTTTCTTACAGTATTTTCTAGGAAACTTATCTTGCTGTTTTTGGTTTAAATAATGAATCACTGAAAATTAACATATTCCTTACCTGAAAATATATTTCAGATAGATATGTACCTCTCTGCATCACTAAGAGCTATTAACCTCACACACAACTGCTGTGGAATTTCCTGTGCACACCACAAGCCTTGAACAAACTCTTATCTCTACATGTGGTTACATGTATTGCACCAACCTATGATGTAATTGTTGTAATGCGTAATGCTGTAGTTTTCCACCAACAGGAGAGTAACACAACTTCTATGCATGGTAATTCCTGTGAGCACTAGCACATGTTTATAGGCTCATTCTTGATGAGGCAAAGAACATGCACTGGAACTGGGGAGAAGGGGGGTGCAGAGAAGCAGGTATCTATCAGAAATACATTTTCTGGTAAGGAAAATGTTGACTTCAGAAATGCTACTTACCTCTCTGCACCGCTAAGAGCTAGAATCCCGCATTGAAAATTGTGGAGAGGCTGGTACAGGTCAATTAAAAAGAAACGGACAGCCTGTGAGGTGTGACTTCCACAAGAACAGGCATTGCCTTGCGGAGCAGCACCTGGTGGAAGACTGCATCCTTCTCAAACAGGGTGGCTAGTTTGTAGATATTCTTTATTCATTGCTATGTTACATATACATTACAAAGAGATTTAAAGTAACGGATATCAGGTAAATCCAGTGCCAGTGGTAACATGTCACAAAGGCAGACAGAATGTGAGGGTGTGTAGTGTAGCTAGGGCTCTAAGTCATTACATCTTAATGAAATACTTACATGGGATAGATATTCTAAGGAGGAGTTTTCACATGCATCCCGAGGCAAATCCAGTCCCATCTGGCTGAATATATTCATTGGGAATTATTTTAATGGGGTGTCCTGTACTACACTTTCAGGTAACACCCCCAACCCTACATTTCAAATGAGGGGTGGGTCCAACCAGTTTTACTGGGGAGAGGGCACCAGTCCATATTGACCTCCCCAGCAGCTTGGGACTGGAGAAGCAAAGGTTGCAATATGGTCTAACCTCCTGTTACATAAAGCTATCTCTATTTTCTTTCTGCCACCTAAGCATTACTAAAAGTTTTTGCTTAGCATACCAGACTATATACCAAAAAAAAATTCATGCCACTTTTAAACATGCATATAGCATGGGTTCTCTTTATCTGACACCTTCTTATTTTGGTCTGTCACACTCTACAGGGTATATCGCCATCCACAACTTTTTTTTTTACAGCCAATTAATCAGGTAGGTTTCTCTTTCCTCCTTACATTGTGGAAATTGTTAGTTGAATATTTATACTATTAATGTTACCAGAATCCTCTACCATTCCTCTTATGTCATCCTATATCCAGACTAGTCCTTCTTTCCTAAGACCTCTGTTGCCTGGGCAGGCCATTTGGCATTCACTGGTTGGGTTCATCAACTCTTTAGACTGATGGATTCAGACTCGTCCATGGAAGGTCACTGTCTCCTCAACATTTCTTCTCATCAAATTTGTCACATTACCATGTCTTTGGCTGCTCATCTTTGCCGTCCATTAGAAGAAATCGTTCAAGCCAAAATGTGGACTACTCCATATTCCTTTGTCACTCATTATCTACACTGTCTGGCTGTATCTTTCTTAGGTGGATATCATCTCCTTTCCATGGTGATTCTACACACGTCTGTTTGGATCTGACTTGGGTATGTCTTTTCACAACATTCATTTATGTTTTCTTTTCAGGAACCCTCTTTTACTGCTACTAGAAGGATCCCACTCTGTGGTGAGTGTTGTCTAGTCAAATGTGCTTTCACTCAAACCCACACTATATACTGGTAGAGCTATAACACTCACTGTAGAGATGAAGCATTCTGCAAGACCACGAATGGCAAGCCTAGTGGTATATACTTATGTGTGTCCAGGTATCCCTAAAGTTGACTCATTGGTGGACCGTTATTCATGGACTATCATGAGTGAAACAAAAGGGTATTTCTGACCATTCCTGCCGATCCTTTGATAGCAGAAATCAGGGACAGTCTGCTTTTCAAAATAGAGAATTGTGGACAACCATTACACTTTCTCCAGTGTGACGTTCCTCCAAACTTCCCACTGCATTTACTTCCCCCTTTTTTCTCCGAGTGGTGCATGGAAGTCCTTACTACTTGCCAGTTCTCAGTCACTGAAGTGGTAGACCAAGGAGGCTTCCTCTTGAGTGTGAAGTAGAAATTTACCATAAAGTACAATCACACATTTATCCACTCAGTGGGAAGAGGGCAAAGCTGAGTTCCCTCTTTCCCTTTATCCTGGATGCTTATTCCCAGGTAAACCGATTGTCAGTTAGAGGAGGACCAGCTTACATGGGGTCCTCCTCATAATACCAGGTTCAGGTTGACACTGCCCTGTTCTCACAGTTGAGTGCAGTAGAGGACCCTCTTCTCATTAATTCTAGTTACAGAAGGTTTCCTTTCCTGCTCCTATAGTTGAGTTTGGGGGATTTCTTCTGACTTGTAATACTGGCAACAGGATGTACATACACTGTTCCTGCGGTTGAGCAAATGTTCCACATCCTCCTAGTAATTCTGTGTACAAGATGTGTCTTCTCTGCATTTATAGTTGGGTGAGTTATGATTTCTACTCTTAATACCAGTTACAAGTATTTTCCTGTTCTTATGGTTGAGCTGAGGCAATGAATGACTCCAGGTTCGGTTTTTTGTACTTCTTGCTCCTACAGTGGTTTTGGGATTTGTCTGGTTTTGGCTAAATGCTTATTTCCTCTTCATAATTCTGGTTGCTTGACATATGACACTCTGTTTACTTATGGTTGGGGTTCATGTATATATATCACATGGTCCACATGTCCTAGCCATAATATTTATGTTACTATAATTTCATTTTTATTTGCATGATCCTCAGCCACTAATGCCGAGGATGGGTTGTGGAACCTCATCTGTCGGTTTGAGATTGGGTAGATATCTAGACATGAGTAGATGTTTTTCTCCATTATTACATTTTGACAAATTATCCTTTGACTTGCCAATTCTCCTCACATGGGTATTGAGTTTGTTTCAAGTTTTCGTTTAATAGAGCAGCTTTTCACCTACAGGAGCTGGCTGTTTTCTGGTCTATTTTGGAGGACAATTTGAACTCGTGCCAATTTTTTCTATGGATTGCACCTCTCAGAAGAAATTAAGTTTGTGCACATCTATTTTTTTATTTTTTCCTTCCATATCATGTTCATTTCCTTCTTACGGTGTGAAGAGCATAACTGTTCCAGAAAGAGCGTAGTGCCCTGCATATGTGCTTTGATTTCATTTCTGAGCACACCAGTTATTTCTAGGTGGTCACTTTTCACTTGGTTTCACTGTTGGGCACATACACTGGCCCTCCACCTTTTAAATGTAGGTAAGTGATGATTGAGCTGGAAAATCAGAGGGAACTAGCTGTGCCAATATAGGTGGTGCAATACTATTGGTGGAGGGTGGTCACATGCTATATACTTTGTCAAAAGTGGCATGAAATTTGTGGGGTACATAGACTGGTGCGCTGAGCCTTAAAATGTTTTAGCAATGCTTAGGGGCAGAAAGAAGATCAAGATAGCTTTTTGTAAGTACCTATCGGAAATACATTTTCAGTGTAAGAAAATGTTAACTTCTCCCATGCACCACTAGAAAAAGAGTATGGAGGAATACATGGTGGAGAGAACACAAGAGTGTATATGTAGAACATTGTCATTGAGCACAATCATCTGGAATTGGATCCCTATCAAAAGACAGTGAAATGGGTAACTACAACTAAAGACAGCAAGTGCAAGCCAAATGAAAGGCAGAACTAGAATTGGTGCTGTCTGTTTTGTTGTTTTGTTTTGTAAAAGGTGCAGAAATGGCCATGTTAATTGTTTAGATATACTGCTGAAGCAATCTTGCAGAAAACCCATTTAGTGGTGGGCACTGAGCAGGAGGAGATGTATTTAATGCTTTCCATTCTGCCCTTGCTTGATGTGGATTTGGGGTAAGTATTTCCTGTTAGGCAATGCTAGACACTCAGTGCATTCCAATGGCACCAAGTATAAGAAGCATAGGATGTAGTTCCTCATGTAACATTTGATCTGGGGAGTTTTGCCTCCTCCTGTTTGGTTTGTTTTTTCATTTTGTTGTTTTTTTGTTCTCTGTTTTAATTGAGAAACTTGCAATTAGGTGGAATGTGTACAGGTATCATAGTACATGCATAGAGAATGTCATGAAATGCATAAATGACAAGGAGTTGACTGACAAACATGACAGGAATAACTCATCATACTAGAGGACTGGAGAAAGGCGACTGGAGGAAAGTGAAAATCATAGGCTTATGAAACCACCAAATGATGCAACTAATGTGAGATGAATGCATTTGGTGTTGTCCACACATCATCCTGTAAGAACTCCAAAGGCCAGTGACAAAATGAGGCAAGAGAGACTGTGATATGAAAAATCTAGTGGGAGGAGACACAAAAGAGTGTATTGTCAGACTCACCCAAAGAAGAATATGTGTGATGAATGAGCTGACAAACCAACCAGTTAAAGTAAAAAAGGACAAGTCCAGAGAGGAAGAAGTCTTTCACAATAAAAGTAGGTGATAGCAATTTCCATGAAAAAGGATAGATTGAACAAGATAAAAACAGACAGCCCGTACAGGACACAAAAGACAATTGGGATCAGAACAACAACGCAGTGAGGAAATAAAGGAGAGAGAGAAAAATGAGAGGAAATATCCAATCACCCTCCCAGGCAGCCTAGATTTTTGAAGAAAAAAAGGAGTTGTCTGTAAATAACATCAACCGATCCCTATAATAGAGTAAGGTGTCCAAGGCTTAAATGTCTGAATGATGACAACCACAACCAAGGAGAAGAAAATATGGCTTAAGAGACAATGATGCAAGAAGCAAAGGAGGCATGTAAGAATCCAAAAAACTACATGAAGGTCCCAATTTGGAAGAAGAACCGGATGAGGGGATGATGGACACAGAAGACCTTAAAGAGATTTGTGAGAACAAGTGGAAGAAGGAATTATTGTTTAGTAAGAGGTGGAAGGTCATAGACAATGCTGCCAGGTAACCTGCAATTGTCATAATAGACAGGGCCTTGTTGAAAAGCCAGGTAAAATATGGAAGAGTAGGGTGGCCTGGCCAAAAATAGTCGTGAAAAAACAAGTGACAGTAGAAAGTCCAATTCAGGTGATAGAGAACAAGAGTAAAAGACCAACAACAATTAGAGAGAAAACAGGCTACAGTGGAAAAATCCCATATGTGAAGACAAAGGCACAACACCTTAAAAGGAAAAAAAGAACAACTGAGCTTGATAGAGAAAGACCTCCAAAGTAGGAGTTTTAAAAGCATCAATATGAAGGTGTTCCAAAATGGGAATAAATCTAATAGAAGACTGAAGGATGGAAGGACCACTCTGTGGGAGAGATTCCATCAAAGCAAGATAAGTGATCCATCACCATATTCAAACTCCAGAGACATGACATGTCATAAGGCAATTACAACAATGTAGGCCAAACAAAGGAAATCCAGAGAGAAAAAACACAGGTTCCAAAAGTGGGTACTGTCCTGGCAGTTGATTAAAGTAATGACCATGAAGTTATTCAAGCGGACCATCACAAGAAGACTGTACAACCGAGACCAAAGAGGGCAAGGCTGATAAGCCACAGTCATCTCCAGAAAGTTTATATGCAGAGAATGCTCCTCTGGGGAGCAGTTCACAAAGAGAGTTGTGGTATTAAGAAGTGACTTAACTGGAAAGAGAGGCACTGGTATAAAGAAAACTGGACAACCAAGACCAAAGAGGGGCAAGACAAATAAGCCACAGTCATCTCCAGAAAGTTGATATGCAGAGAATGCTCCTCTGGAGAGCAGTCCACAAAGAGATTTGTGGTGTTAAGATCTGACTCAACTAGAAAAAGAGGCACTGGTGTAAAGATGAAGATAGGAAGACAGAGATGAAAGGGCATAGGAGTGATCACAGGATGTGTTCTAATGATCCCATTGAGCCCACTGAAGGGGACATGTGTACACGATTGAGAAGAATCATGGCTTCTAAGTAATCATGAATCCTTAAATTTGAGAGAAAAGTGCCATGGATGAAATAATCTCCATGCTGTGAATACGCAAGGTAGAAGGCTCACCCCACCCTACACAAGAAGTGAGGACAACCCCATGTGGGCAAGAAACTGAGGAGGAGTCAAAACAGACTTGGAAAGTTATACTGGCCAGTCTAGGGGAGAGGCTTCTCGAGGAAGAGTGAAAATAACAATCACTGATTCCTATTGAGATAGGGTCAGGAAATGATGTACAACCATATAATAATGGAAAAGAAGGAAAGCATTTCAAATGTCTATCCTGGATAAACACAACTCATGAAAGAGGGTCCAATGCAGACTGAGAAAATCATCTAGCTGGAATTGAGGAACAGAGATGACAAGCCAATAACCAGGTACCAAATCCCCAACTGCATAGGGTGACAAAAAGATGAAAATAAAATCCCTGAATGGGGTGGGAGACAGGGTCTGAAGCATCTGCTGCCAACAGAAGGACACCATGTTCTGAAGATGATGAAGCAGAAGATCAGTGAGAAGAGGATAGGGAAAGGGATGATGAGAAAAAAGGGTGGAGCATGAAAGAGGAGAGAGAAATGATGAGAAAGAACATGCAGAACTCCAGGGTTACTAAAGAAGAAAAAAGACAAGAGGGTAATGTAGAAGAACCAGTCAGTTTTTCATACCTAAATGTTTTTTGTCCTTTTTTTTTTGTTTGAAAGAATCATCTGCAGTCTCTGTATATATTCACTCTCTTCACTGGGCCAGTAAAGTATTAAACAAGCCTCTTATAATCCTGCTGTTGTAAGTTAAAGAAAAGAAGAGTATTGTTCTCCATGCTGATCCCATACCATTCAGTCAATTAGCACCTAGAAGAGATTTTATGGGAACAGAGGTTTGTGGTGTTTCTGTTACTATGTTTGGATTGATTTTTGTGATTTCAGTGATGCCGTATAAAAGACAGCCTATATTAACTTTCAATCTCACTGAGAATATGTAGAATGTAATGTTGATCTGTAAAGGATATTATTTCAGATTTACAGTACAGAATAATGCTGTTTATATTTTTCTCCAAATGTAAAAGTACTATCATTACTGTTTTTTTTTTAATATTGAAAGCATGAATTGTTTTTTCACTGATTTATTGCAGTAACAACTGACATTTTTTGAACCTGGACCTCTTCTTAAAAAAGCAGTTATTGACATTATTATTTTCTAAAACAGAATGTTTTTGAGCTGAGTATATCCCAAGCTATGGATGTTGTGAAGAAGGAGCACCTTGTTGACCTGTCATCTAAAGTGAGCAAAGTAACTCAGCTGACAGGATTCTCTGATCCTGTGAATGCAGAAGGTTATCTTCATGTTAACCAATACAATATTGTTCTAGATGTTCTCATACTTAATCAAACTTAAGACAAACTTCAGAACTGTACAGAGCTAGCTACGTTAGGTAAATCTTTGGTTCAGCTGTATTTAAAAGCTATTTATTATTATTTTTGAAATATTAGGTCGTCAAGAAATTAATTTTACTTTTTTTATAGATGAAACAACCCAAACAACTTATATATCAAAACTAAACATTTATTAAATGAAAAAGTCTTCATTCTTATCGATGATGCTTTTACATGTTACAATCAGGTTGTTAATGCCCTGATTAAAGAAATCACTTGGCTTTAAAGCAAAAAACATATTGATGTCCTCTTTAACACCTTCCACATTTGCATATATTTTCCCATTAAGATGTTGTTGCAGCAAATGAAAAAGATGGTAATCTGATGGTGCCATATCTGGAGAATATGGTGGGTGGGAGAGAACTTCCAAACCCAACTCCATAATCTTGTGTTGCGTCAAACGTGCCACATGTGGACGTGCATTGTCATGGAGAAGAAGAACACCTTTCTGATTGACAAGTGAAGGGCGTTTTTGATGAAGGGTTGGATTTAAATGTTCCAGTTGCTGACTATAGATCTCTGCATTGACAGTTCACTGTGGATTGAGGAGTTTGAAATGAATTATTCCTTTGATATCCCACCAAATGCAAAGCATCACTTTTTGCAGATGGAGTCCAGGTTTTTGGGTAGGAAGTGGTTTTTTCTAGGACTGAGCCATTGTTTTTCGCATAGAGAATCCATTTTTCAGCACCAGTGACAGTTCTGTCCAAAAATGGTTCACGCTCATTACG